TTCAGCAGGCAGAGGTCTTGTGAAGCTAAATTCACTAGTGTCAGAAAAATCATTGTTTCCCTCTAAGCAAATATAAGCTATTCTTAATGTATAAAATACTTCAAAAATACATTCAGTCCATGCCCTAAAATTGTGTTAGAATCCTTCTGTGGACATAACGTCTACAAGACTTATTCTACATTATGGGCGCTTTACCTATTTAGATAAATGTTCTGCATAATCTGTGCATTCCCAGGTTTTAGCATTCACCCCAGGCAGTAATGGCTTTTTCCTGTCATGATTATATTTTATTTCTTACCCCGGGCATAATAATCTTCTCTATATCTCCAAAGATGTTGTCCCAGCTGTCTGGGTCCATTGGGGCAGAATCCGGCAACTGGGCTCTCATGTAACCTGGCTGTACATCAGGTGTCACACGTCTCTCTCTCACATTGCTCAGGTACTGGCAAATTTTTTTCCCTGGAAGAGGCAAACCAGTGCTTTGAGTTTTGATTGCAGGAAAACTAGCTTGTAGTACTAGCACTTCATGCAGTCTGTCACTAGTATCGGACAGGGCTTGGAATACTGCTCCCAGGATAGCCATAGGAACAAACCTTCCTCCTACACCGTACTTGTCCCATCTAATAATATAAGGACACGGCTTCTAGAACAGGCTTCAGAGGGTTATTTCAGCATCGTCACTGAATAGTTCAAACATACCTTTAAAATACAATCATAGTACAAGTACAGTTTGTTTGATTACTGGGAAGATAGACAGATTTTCTTGCCTACATATTAACTGAAACTGCATTCCACAGAAATTGGATTTTCTTAATGCCCAATGCTTCCCCATTGTTACACCATACCCCCTTTTGCATTCTCTGAAAACAGCTACACAGCTCCACACCTTTCCTCCACGTTTTAGGCAATCTCCTCCAGCCTTGGGACCAAAGTTTGCTCCCCATCTCCAGAACTGTGCCAGTTATCACTGAAGTTTCATGGTGTCAGCCAGGGAAGAGCCACTGTGCTTTACCTCTTAGCACAAGTTTATTCAGAATCAGAGTTTTGCAGCTTTCCCACAGTATTTGAAATGTAAGATCAAAAAGCCTAAGTCATCCACTGACTCTAAATCCATTAATTTAAACTCAACCATGGGATACATTTTTGTCTCGACTTCAGCAGATCTAAGTCTCAAGGACGTGTGCAAATAAAGAGTATATAGCTCATCCTAATTTTGGGTACCACTCCCAGCCCTACAACACTTGATCTCCATGAGCAAATGCTACCAGTTTCCAAGAGCAGACAATCACTCACCTCTCCGTCTGTACTCCTCAGGCTCCATACCGATTCCTTCTAAAAGCACCTCTTCAAACCTGGGCCACAACCTTTCAGGAGCGGTGGGCAGTTTGGTCTGGTGCCCTGCTAGCTGCTTCACCCTTTATAGCTCCCTTTATCTCTCAGACTCACGCATTCTGGAAAAGGTTTAATGCAGGCAGGTTATTGGTGAATGTTTATCTAACTCCTCCCAACTGAGGGCTTTTGCAGTCTCTTGTACATTCTCCTCTGTGCTCTTTTGATGTGTAAGATAATCTGTCTCTACACGGAGCTGCCTCTGCACTGACCCTTTCCCATCTTCAAACAATCTTTCAGAAGTCTCACAGGAATCCATGTCATGAATATAAGACACATTAACATCAGACTTGTGGGAGGAAAAAAGCTCAAGAGCTTCCAAACCCAAATAAAATCAGCCATGTTACTCTAGCCCACCAAACTACTGCGCTAGCAGTAGTCATTAAAACAAGGCATCAACACATAACAAATTTGACACTGCAGGTGAGGACTTCCCTCTCCCCCTTTTTTTTTTTTTTTAAAGAACTGTAGGACTGCGTTTTCCCAAGAAGAGAGTATACCTGCATCCCAAGTCTTCAGTCACTATGCTGTCAGTCCCTTGCTGCTAGATGGAAAGGCATTACAATCATTGCCAGTTCCAGAACTGCAATACAAAGCAGCAATGATCCTCTTTGTGGATTTCCTGCTCTTCCAGATCAGAGCAGGTTACACTGCAGGGTGATGATCCTCCACCGATACCACCCTATATTTCTGAACTGGGAAAACACATCTTCTCCCCCCCCGCTGTGCTTGCTTTTCTCACATATGATATGCATAAGCACTGGGATTTGGCCTTGTATCTCCAGAATTCCTCCAAGTCCTCTACCTGCATTGTTCTCAGTTTGGAAGAACAGCCATGTAGATTCCCCCTTGTTCCAGTTTCAGGACCCAAAAATACAGCCTGACCTATCTTTGGCAGCACGACCTTTGACACTGTTCTCAATGTTGAGCGTTTATCATCTTCACCAGAAGGAACTCACTTGCTCTACACTGATACCAGGCAGCCCTGGGAAAAGAGAGAGGTAGGACTTATGGACTAAGCACCAGAAAAGAGAAATTATTACATAGTACAATATATGCTTGCCCCGTTTTCACTATGCCCTAAGCTCCTGCTTAGGGCTGGCCCGGTTGGAGACAGGATACCAGGCTAGGCTGACCCTTCATCTGATACACGACCATAGTTTTTCTGTTCTCATTATACAGGAGACAACTGGCTGTCAGAGCAGCTTTGATTTTCTGCCTCATACTATAATGCAGCCTAAACGCTTTCATTATTCTAGAAAGGTGTTTTGTCTTTCTCCACAGCACACTTTCTACAGAACAGTGTGAAAACCTTTCCCAGTTTCTGCTGCGATTAGATACTTGAGAAAGAACTGTTTCATAGATATGACAAAGATGCTCTGATAGACGCATATCAGATTAATATATGGAAATAAAGAAATATTTTTTAAAAGGCATTGAAATAAGTGCAGAAAAAACCATAGTATATGCATATTCATCTGCTTTATCTCACATTTCTCTGGAAACATTAGGAAAAAAATAACAAGTTGCCCACACACTTAATATCAATTTATGAACCTCTCTTGGCTTTACTGTAAATGCTACCATAAAAGGGGACAAAGAAGGTACGAAGAGACTGGCATCGAGAACAGGACCAACTCAAAAAGAGCTCAGAGTTCTCAAAAACTGTGATTCTAGCTCATTACAACTAACTAATACATTACTTTAATATACAGATGTCTGTTCAAAGAAAGCTGGTAGCTAATTACATTTATGATTTCAATTTGGAACAGCAAATAAGGAGCAATACTTTTAACAATGTTTTCAGAGCTAAACTACACAATAAATATTCCATGTGACATATACCCTATGCGCCTTTGCTCAAAGGTGACAGCTTCATCAGGTTGGTTTCTTGTTCTGTGTGGAAGAGAACAAAGAGCAGGTCCTGTTCGGAACTAGAATAAAATAGGTGGTAATGAATTACAGGTAGGGTAAATATTGCTGGTGATAAATAAATTTTTGTTATAGCTACCCTGCACTTGGAAGGATTTTGTTACAGGCAATGAGGAATAGAATATTTGCTCACAGGAAGCAGAATGAATAGAAAAGGTTCTTTTCATTGTTTGCTACAAAGGTTTGTGCCGTCAAAACCGTGGGAAATTCTCCATTTGGACATGAACATTACCACTATCGCTACTCAGACTAACGCTGAAATTCTTATCGTTATTAAGAGTTCACAGAGATTAAACTGTAGTTAAGTTTGTGGGATGTGAGGACACAAACATTATTTTGATCACAGAATAATTCAATTGGAGCAATGCCTAACCACCACATTTAACTTGACTAACTGGTTCCTGCATTCGCTAGTCACATAATGGATAATTTCTGAAAAAAAACCCTAAAATATAGCAATTTCCAGTTAGTCACTGCACAAGGCTTGCTTCAAGTCCTAGTACCAGCTGAGCACGATTACATCCTTGAAAATAATAATTCTAGAACCATTACCTCAGATTTTCCATTTTTATTATCTTTTGATTATTTTTGGGTCAAATTTGCCAATCAGGATCAAATTTTCAAAATTTATACCAATACTAGGATATTTAGGATTTTTTTCCTAACTGCCAATTCTATAAATTCAAGTCAAAGTCTGAAGGAATATTTTACTTTGTATTGTATAATGCAATTCTTTCCCCACTCCTCCCTTCTACCTTTGAAAGCCATTCTAGGCTTAGAACTGTTTTTTCCTATTTTTCTGAATGCCTAACACATCACAGCTTTGACCTTCTAATATGCATACAAAACAATGGAAATGGAATTGATTCTGCACTATATATATGTGGAAAAGATATTTAATTGTAAAATAGAAAAAGTAGGCCAGAGTACAGTTTTAAGGGTAATTCTTCTGTGTACAGTATAGGTAAACTAGACTTTTTGCTTAAGTTTATATAAACAATTCCATAAAAGCAGTGAAACAGGGAACAACAAAGCAAAGCACAAAAAGTTTTATCTTACAAAAAAGGAATCTGCACAGTAGTTCAAAATTTAATGTAACACAGCACTGAACAATCTTAAGGCAGCGCAGTCTAAGTACAGGACTAGAAGCCAAGAACTCCTGAGATCTACTCCCAGGTCTACCACAGATTCATGTGGTTTTGGGCCAGTTATTTAACGCTCCCTCTGTTGCACTTATACCAGTTATAAAATTGAGACGGTAACACTCACTTACCTGCCTCAGGCAATACAGTAAAGGTTCTTTAAAAGATTTTACAGTGCTCTGAAGATGTAATGTGCTATATAAATCCTAAGCATAATAGATCACTGCACAGACACACACAAACACAGTATCACAGTGAAGAACAATGATGCTAGGTAACAAGAGCATCACTACAACATAAAAAAAATTACTTGTCCAATTGCATGATTAAGATGCAAAAGTCCGTTTAGAAAAAAAATGTATCACTGAAATAATTTCAAGGCTATTCTGGAAAAAGAGACCAATAGGAATATTCTAAAAGAACTACTATTTGTGTTCCAGTGGAGACATTCTATTCATTATTGAACTTTAAAATGTTTGTACAGGAAAATCGTAAGACACACAAAGGGAAGTTTCAATGTCTCCACTACCAAATTTTAAATTGCCTCTAATACGTAAATTAAGATTTCTTTTTTTGTTCTTTTTAATTAGAAATTACATTCTTCCAAGAAATATGCCATCCACAATAAAACTGGCAGCTAGCTTACTTCAAATGACCTACAGGCTAAACATTTTCCTCATAATTTTTCTCATCTTTGCTGAAAAATACCTATGCAAGATGTACGTGTAGAAATTATAAAAACATGCAGCATATGTACAAACTGAAAAGTTTAAAAAATATTAGCTTCATATACATGTCAATCTACTTGGATATATCCGAAATTAAATATAAAAATTTCACCACCTAAAATAAAAAAACCCAAAAATGGTTTTCAGAGAATCTGAGACAACTACTTAAAGCTGTACAAAGATTTCCACCTGGAAATGTCTTATTCAGAGAAGTTTAAGTTGTTACCATGTAGAAATAACTGTTAATTCATTTTGTCACATAATTAATTTTCAAGTTGTCAGCTTAAATCAACAACATCACCCTTAAAACTGTTCTGTTTTTCAGAAGTTAGATTCATACTAAAATCAAAAATTTCACAAAAGCATTGGCTTCTCATGTTTCTGGATCCCTTCAAAAAGATTTATCAACTCATTTTGAAACTGTAAAAAAAACAACTATTTACAGTATTTCATTTTAAATATTTTTCACAATTTCTAAATTCAGAGTTTTTATGTTACAAGAAATTCATCAGAGCTCACGGCTTAAGTCCAGTTATCAACTTGTAGCATCTTCTCTATCATGTAATCCTGTGTCTGTACCCATATAGCGTACAGTTCAAGATTGTACTGCAGGTTTTTGAAAGTAACAGGCTTTGCAGTATGTTCATTTTTTATTAAACAGCTTCTTTATTAGTCTGGAGGCGGTTCATTGCCTCTAACTTCTGCCGATAGGCCTCTGCTTCTTGTTCTTTCTTTAGAAGCTGCTGACGATATTTTTGTGCTTCTCTGTTTGCCTCATCCAGCTGTTTCTGAAGAGTTTCTCTTTCCTATTAGAAACAGAACCAGCAATATTTTGTCAAATACGTATCAAATACAAGTTAAAATGGCAAATACTTTTCCTTTACATGCAGCTTAAGTGTTACGGTATGATGTAGAAACTGTTCAGTTCTTACTTGGGCAAACCTATATGAACGTTGCTGTGTAAATTAGATGTGAACTATCACACCAGACAACTCCCCACAATAAGGCTTGAAGTGTAAATACAGTAAATCCAAGTTTCTTTAGCTGCAAAGATAACAAGCAAGTCTTCATGGAAAAAGAGTGAAATAAAAAAGTGGAAGTATGGTGATAAAATACTAACATAATACATTAACTTTTCTCCAATGATTCAATTCCCTTCATTACTTTTTAAAATTGGAATCCAATCTAACAGGATTGTCCCTTTCTGTTGTATTTCTAATCGGACAGTATAATGAAAACCTGTTACCTAACAGCAGTTTGTACTGCAAAGTGGCAGCTGCCCACTAACCAAAATATACACATAACTGGTTTCTAAATGAAGTGATCTGAAGTGATTGATACTATGCAATCCAGAGGTATAATTATATCCCCAAGGACACCACACTTTTATGAATTAAAAGGCATTCAGCTAAATAAGCTTTTTCAATTCAAAAGGAGTAACTTAAGGCTCCATCCTGCATCCAAGTTTGCTGGGGATGGCTATATAATGGTTTCTAAGCAAAATAATATGGGAAATGCCACTTCCTATGAAGCTGCCTTCGCAACTAAGGAGAATGGATTCCTGTCTCCAGTGACGTAGGTACTCTCATTTTGTTTGATGCTGCACTGAGCTCAATTGAAAAAGCAATTTGCTTAGAAAATAGCTTTGTTTTGATCTTCAACCAAACACCATTTCATTAAAGTGCATCATACTTTTATGAGTAAGGTAGTATTTGATTTCAAATCATTCTTTCCACTGTAGTTGTTAAGTAGCCACAAGAGGGAAGTTGTCAGGGAAGCGAGCTATCGCCCAGGAAAACAAAACTCTTATCAAAAACTGAGGCCCAGTGAAAATAAGTTGCCTTTTCTCCTTATTCCCATCCCAACACTTCAGTATCACATCCCCATTTAATACCTCAAAACAGTTGTTAGATGTTTCTCTCCCCACACCCCCATAACAGCATCCCTATTCTTCACCTCTTTGATGCACTCACATATTTTCATGGTCAGAGCCTGAAAATACAAAATACTGTGCCTCCCTTCTACTTGCTATTGTTCTCAGTACTTGTCACAGTCACATTTAGCAGTCACATGCTGTGCTGAATGTGCTGGAATATAATGGCATAGGTGATCAGATCATTGCTAATACCAGCATCTGTATAGCAAAAACAACAGGTGAAGGAGAGATGTTATTAACAGGTTATTAAGACTAGCTATAGTACAGAACAGAACAAACTCCATTAAGTGCAACTTGATTTTACATAGGGCTTTAAGAGCTGAAGGGAGCTAGCTAGGGTTTGCTTCATTTGGAGCATATGCTAATACATTGAGAGCTCATGTGATCTTGCCTACTCATTTGAAAAGGAAGTTCAGCTTCCACCTCTGAAAATTTGGATTCTGCTTTTTAAGCAACTTCTTGAACGGCCAATCCACGTAGCAACCAGACTGACAAATGCCAAATGAACGGTAGAGCCTACATCTCAAAGGATCTAAAACACACCAATGATGTTCCAGCACCAGTCCAACCAAAACATACTGCTATTTCTGTGAGTTCTCTATGTAGTATAAGGGGAGCCAACAGCTTATGTAAAACAGCTTCACGGAGTAGAAAGTTGGCGAAAAGAGCTACAACACAATTCTCAGGGAAGCAGTCAAAACAGTTGATCCTGCTACACGTGGAAGGCAACCTTTACCTCTTGAGGACACTGAACTCTGGGATATACTGAGCTGGGCATTATCTACCTCATGAATTTGTCACGTAAAAAAAGTCAGAAATCTAATACTGGCCAGAAGCAAAGCTGGTCTATCTACTGGGCTGCAGAAGAGTAAGAACCACCAGGAGCTTACTGGTCACTGGTTCTATGGTGCATTACAAAAAGCAAGGTGCAATCACTACTATGGAGTGTGTGCAGACTGCAAACACTTGGGGGTGGAGAGATTCTCAGACAATATCTTAAGTGTACTTCCCAAGAGAAAAATACTCCTGTAAGGAGTATAGCACATTAAGAAAGGGATAGGAAAAAAGAAAAAAACAAGTCTCAGTGGCAGAGACAAGATAAAAATCAATATCTACCAGACAGACTAGCAATTCAAAGCATGTAGATTAGTCCAGCAATTAACAGGTGTAGTTTTTAGACAGTCATAGTCTTAACATAAACAGAATGAGTTAAGGAACCGAGGCCAAGTATACGGTCTAAGGCCAAGTATACAGTTTAAGCAGGCAGTGGAGGGAAAGCAATGCTTCTGGAGGAGCAATGCAGATCTACAGTGGACTGAACAGTAAAAATGGGTTCCTTAACTTTGACGTCTAGAATAGGGAGGACTGTTCCTGCTCTATTAATTTAATCAAATCCAGAAAGTGTTTTTAGGGCACTCTTTAGAACACAACTGAAAGTGTTCTAATTATTTGAAGTCCTTTTGTATCAGTATAAAAACCTACCCGGGTAAAAATTAAATTAGAAGATCTTGAGTGCTCTTAAGAAATCTTCCATTTTATCAGGGAATTTTCTTCATTACATGTAACATTTCTTAATAGTCTACATATTGACAATAGGAACACCCACAACTAAAATAACCAAACCAAGCATTCTTTTTAACAACAGAAAAAACAGGGATATTAATTCATTAATATAATTAATTTACAATTATGATATTATCTTTTTTTTAGTCTAGTGAAATGATTGTCCTGGTTCTAATGTGTATCACCTTTCAAACATCCAACATAGGAAAACCAGTCAAATTCAAGAATGAAAATAAAAATCACTGTATGTTAATGAATTATACATGAAAATGAAAAACACAGTATCTGTGTGACAGAGGTTTTTTTTTTGCTGCCATCCTATGTTTAAAATATCAAACTGTTTAGAAAAACTGTTACTCTTCAAACTGAGCTGAAATGTTTGAACTTAACAGACCCAGAAGAGAAAAATCAAAAACCACCACTACAGCTTTAGTTACTTTTACACGAAACTTTGTCACATGAATGGGAGGATGATCAACTTAAAGACTTTCAAACTACAGCTAACTGTTCATACACTTACGAATTTAAAACAGCTTAAGAAAGTGCTCTTAGGCTTGAAACAACTCTTTATAATGAAATACAGCAATGAATCATCAGTGAGGGAAAGAAACCGAACAATAAAGGTTTTCTACATTAAAAAAAATGTAGAGAGGATGGGTCCCACTCCCTCCAAATTCAAGCATCTACCACCTTCTATGATAATGAAGTTTGAAGTGAACTGACTTTATGTGCACTTTAACATCTCTGTTACCAAAATGGGGTAGCACTATACCCCTGTGAACCACAATAAGGCTCCTGAAGTCAACTGGCTTCCACACAGAGGCAGAGGTCTGCATGTGCATTTCCAGTTGTACAGGCAGGAATAAAGTCAGTCATCAAGACTTGCACTTAAAGGTAACAGATAAAGTAACTCATCTAAGCCAACTTCTTTCAATATTTGAGAAACGTGTTTAAAATATATAATTTAAACTGGTAACCCCCTTAAAAGAATTATTTGTACTGTTATAGCAACTATCTGTAATTAGGAACAGGTCAATTTATTCCTTAATCAATCTAGATTTTTTTTTTTTCTCTTCACCTAACAGAATTATTAATACTTAAGGAAACATAATTTCCTTTATGAATAATTCAGGCAGATGTTTAAAAGTGTGAACAAAAGAAATGCTTTTATTGTAACAGTCATACATTTTAAAAAATGCAGCAAGAAAATTTCCAACTGTCATGATAACCTGTAATGACCACAAAGCTGCAAAGGCCAACAGCACTTGATGTGACAACTTAGTGACAGGGAAAGCAAGTGATGAAAGGTGGTAATTATTGTTATTAGACATGGATAACATGTAGCACATACTGTACAATAAAAAGTATTCAATTAGTCACAATTCAATAATATGAACAGAAGTTGGAGAATACAACCTTTGATAAATGAAATATCATGTAGTTGACCAAATGAGAACTTACAGCCTAGTCAAAGCAGACAGCAATTTTCATAAACTTCTGACCAAAACTGGTCAGCACAGTTAGAAGTAATAGAAGAAGGAACGAGATGGTTGACCTACTGTGGCTAATATAAAAAAGCTACAATTTTAAATTGAACAGCTACATCTATTTGTCATATGTAACAAGAAAAGCGCTCTCAACGTTGTTAGGTCTTCTGCACTATAATTTTAAAAAAACAGGATGGTGCAAAGATGTGTAATAGTAAACTGCTCCAGAATTTAAAAAAAAAAAAAAAAAAAGACAGATAAAAATTGACAAACACAGAATCTTACTGTTTCACATTTCCATTAGCAGCTATCTAGATATCATGAATGGAAAGGAAATGATGCTAAAAATATGATCTCACAATCAGGACAAGCATGTGGTCGTAACAGAAAGATGAGGGTAATGTACTCTCATTCATCGTTAGCGGAAAGAGTCAAGTTACTCGATAATATATCAGTACCTAGTTTTAAAAACTAGCTAGTGATCTTAAAGGAAAAACAAAAAAATTAAGTTATCACATATTTAAACAAGTGCCACTTTTATGTGCACAATCACAGGATGAAGCAAACAACTCTCCTGTACTCCTTTTACAATAACTTTGAAAAAGATGAATTCTAGTAACAGGGGAGATTGAACAAGTTATTGTTTCACACACTTCATTCTGTGGTAACACAGAAATTAAACTCTAGAACAACGCAAAAAACCAGATACTCTGTGCTGAACACTCTCGTTAACACATATCACGTAATATACTCCTTACTTCTATTTCTGCAGACTCCACACGATTTTCAACAATCTCAATGCACTGTCTCTTCACTGGCGGTTCTTCACTTATCACAGTTTCTTCAGCAATGTCAGTTGCTGGAACTGTTAATACTGAAAACATGTTTGTACATGTAAATACATTTACTTCAAACAATATTTGCACTACATAATAAAATTACTTAATTATATGAATTTTAACAGCAATAAAATGCAGAGACTTTTCTTTACGAAAACACAACTATATAATAAAGTGCATTAAAAAGTCAGTATGGGGAAAATTTACTAAAAACTTTAGCTGCTTGTATGCTACTAAAGAATTTTAAAATTCTTTGTTACTGAGGTCTGCAACAGTTAGTTGTCATGCTGGAGTATCATCACTGTTTTTCACAGAGTAAACAGACATGGAAGTGAATTACAGCAGTTACCAGTGTCAATTCTGTAACTTATGTAGCAGATCGTCTTTACAATGTTTCTTAAGCAAATACAAAACTGGTTTTTGATTTTGATTAATTAGAACACCTTAGGTAATCTGAAAATCCAGTAGCTATTAACCTTGAAGGAAAAAAATTAGGGATCTAAAGAAATTCATACTCTTAATTTACTCATGCAACCATCTGGCAAATAAATGTTGTAACTGTCACTTCAGTTACTACCTACACACATTCATGCTTTCTGATAACTAGCTGTACTTGTTCAGACAGACTGTGAATGAAATAATTTGTCTCCGGTGTACAATTCTGCAAGCTCCACACTGGGAGTACTCATGAAGAAACCAGAGAAGGAATCATTTCTGCCTAAATAGTATGTGCAGAGCACCTTTAAAAGAAATCACCCAAAACATATGCATGTCACAAAATAGGACTTATTACACCAGCAGCTTCCACAAACAAAGTACATATGGCCAAACAGGACAATTTGTGTCACCATGGTTTCACAGCTTCTACCACTGCTCCTCTAAAACCTGAAGCACGTAAGACGTGGCTTTTGTTCTGTCAAGAACACCCTCCATGGGACATGCACAGCTTGCTTGATGCATCAGATTCCTAAACCCAAGCCTCACCTCCCCACAGTATTTCCAGCAAGGCAAAAGCATATGCGTTGGAAGAAGGTTTTTGTTTTACTCCATCTTCTAGTTTTCATAACAAGTTTGCAAGAATCAAACTTACTGAAGGCAAAGCAAGTAGTTATCACTTTTCCCTTAAATGCCCCATTTCTCTTCCATACAGTTTAGTAATTCTTCCATTCTTTCTCCTAATGCAGAGACTCAGCTGACGTGATAACTCACTAAACTGCAGTAGCTCATGTCTGAGCCTTTTGCGGTATAAGAATTCAAAGATGTATTTAAATTGATAATTACACAAAATTGTCCAAGGTATTTACACCTAACAATTTATTATTACTACTATAACTAAAACAGTTCCTCAAGCTTGAGCTGTACATGCTTCCACTCACCTTGTTGTCCATCTGGCATGGTCACAATGATTGGTTGCCCTATTCCGCTGGTTGGAATCGAATGCAGATTACCAAGCTGAATGCCATCTGTAACTATAGTAATAACTTGCTGACCTCCAGAACTGACAACTTGCTGAATAGCACCATCCACAGATTCTGCAGTCACAACTTCTTCTGTGGCCACAACTATCAACAAATTAGTAAAGGAATTAAGTCAATTTAAAAATTAAGCTTTTTGGTTTCAAATGCTTTTTGCTCCAGCTGAGAAAAAAATTTCTTCCGTGTGTTTTAAAATTTGACATACCCTCCAATTAATGCATTACTATATATTATACTGTTAAAAGAAATCTTTCACCAGGCCAACATAAAGCACTAAGATTTTGAAATATACATGCAACTCCATTCTGGTTTACCTTGCTCAATATAATTTTTAATTTTTTTTTGTTTAGCATGTTTCCTAATAGATACACCCTATTCAAAACTGACACTTTTGGTTCAGTGTTAACATGGCAGCAAGAGCAAAAGTCGTTTTTAAGAACACAAATAACTTTTGCATCATACACAAGCTGGACTAAGTCATACTAATGGGAATAAAAAAAAATTAAACTTGAAATACTATCTTGAAACTACTCCTCAAGCAGTACCTTGCCAGGTGTACCTCAGGACCCAGTCCTGATTTCTCTGCTTACTGTAACAGTCTTCATGATAGTAAAAGACTGAAGGATCTCTAGAGAATCTTAAATTTTTGTCTGTACTACATGGGTACTTCAAACACAAACACAACTTTATTTATTATACAAAGTATGAAACAAGACTAAAGGAAAAGTTCTGCAGAGTTGACATTTTTACATCTTTGAAGGAGAAAGATAAAGCTTAAAGAGTAAAATAAACCTTCTATGTACATAATTCCATTTGATTCGATAATGAGTATACAGCAGCGAACTCTCACAGTTCTATATAACATCTATAAAGCAAGGTAAAATAAGGGAAATACTGCATTCAGAATTACAACAAATAGCACAGCTTACACTACACCTCACTGTAATTGGGGTCTTGCACTACCACCCTTGTTTTTTAAAACAAGATACCGAGACAAAGAGCAAGATCACTAGTAGCACAATCAAAGAATTTGAAGCCCACTAACTCTATTTTATTTTTTATTTGTCAGGGTAAAAGCAAAGTCTTTGATTTAAATAACAGACATTAGAGTGCTTTCTATCTACAGAGATGAAATTAAAACCCTACACACTGTTGTGATGCTCGAGATGACAGAAGGTAGATAAAACCCTGAAGCTTTCATCTTAAGTTAATTACAGTATACCACACACACAAATCACTCTGTAGTTCAAATGATGACTGCAGTCATCATTTTCTGAAGATCCTTATGTTCAGAGATTACTATCCTATAGCACTGCTTAAATATTCACAGAGTGTTTATTCAGTAAACCAAAACAGTAAGTCCTAGAAGAATAAGTGGTGTTGTACTGAACTCGATTTGGCTTCCAAGTACAGGCTTAACAGTAAGAAAGACCACTGTCACAAAAAATTCCAAGTGGCAAGTGCCAATACTAGCTGCTGTGCGAAATAGCTCTGACCTTTCAGTTTTGAACTCAATGATGGGCTTTTAGTTCTGCAAGGAAACATCATTAGGACTTCCTCAGACCTTGAAAGAAAAATGGAGATTTTGTCTAAAAAGAAATTATTCTATATAAAAGAAAAATATCTCCATAAATACAGTCCTTATTCCTTCCGTGCTTTCCTTCTGTATCTATACCCATATAATTATTAGTTACCACACTACTTCACAGGCTGAAGGAAAGCCGAAGTCATTTAAAACAGCAGCACTATCATTTTCAAGAATCTCTGTATTAACATGCCTTATCATCTTCTGCAGTGTGTGCAGGGGGAGAACACCTGCACATGCAGTAAGACATAAGCCTAATTCCAATACAGGCACTCCAAATATTGCATTCCAAATCAGATTTTTCTCTAATCCAACTGTGAGTTCCATATATACATTATCCACCACATTTGTACATAATGTCCATGTCCTCATATACACTTCATTTGAGTAACAATTAAAAAAACCCATGATTCTATTTAGCTTCAGTGAGAAGCACCTTCCTTCCTTTGTTTTTACAAAATTGATGTGTTTTTAACTGCAAGACATGAGGAACTAGGGGGAAGAGATCAGGGTAAAGTTAACTTTGAAAGAGGAGAAAAACCTAGACAAAAACAGCATAAAAGGCAGAACCTAAGTGTTTTGTCCAAGTTTATATAGTCTTAAATACAGGAGGCTAAATACAACGTAAGAGCCAAAAACAGAATTATAAATACTGTCAAAAATTGTATGATTGAGAAATGGATCTTTTAGAAGATGAGCACAATGAAAATGTGGTTTTTTGTTGTTTTCTTTTTTTTTTTTCTCCCTTAAACACACTTACTACCGATGCACAGGTGACAAAAAGCTGCTTTTGTATTCTTTACACTTTATAAACTATTAAAGGAGGAAGAACACAGGAAATAATTTGCAGACAGTAAGATGCTGCAAGGTTGCCAACACATCTGCATAAAAATCAAAGCAGAAGAACTGAAATAAACAGGAGTGTTAGGTATGACGCATACTGCATTACTGAAGGTGGGAAGCTACCACATCAAGACTTCAAGCTCATTCCTTCCTGCCTGTCATCTCCTGCCTCCTCTCTAATGGCTTTTGTCTTCAGTGGTTTACTGACCTGTAACATGGGTTACACTGCACCACTGCAAGGGTAGGGCCATGAAACATGAGAACTCTTGGTTAGTTAAGTCTATCACTGAGTCCTGGATACACATTTAATGTTCTGTAATCCCATTCAATCCCTTCTTGAGTTTCTCTCTCCTACAATTAGATCTGAGTTTCATTGAAATATATTAATTGACTGAAAACATCAGCAGCTTCTTCTGTAATGAGAGGCGCTGCACTCTGATTTTGAATCATCCACTTCACTTGCAATATTTACATGTCGTAAAATAGTATAGCTGTACTTAGGTACTGCTTTGAGAAGGTGTAGAAGAAAAGAACTGTATGTATTAAGAAATCCTGCAGGACTTCAAAATACTTAGAGATGAAAACTCAGGTATATGTTGGGATATAGCTGTCATGTCAGCAATTCTGAGAGTACCGATCTCTTCTATACTTTCAGTGAAAACTGTGTCCTTAAGAACAATGTCATCTGCAGAGCTGAATTCCCCGAGAATTTTTAAGTACCAAAGACTTTGACCATGCAAAGCATCTCAGTACTGTAAAATTTATCACAATGACCATCACCAACAAAAAAGCGAAATAAATGCATTTCTTAGAAACGTGTTCAGAAAAATTCAGGTTATCATAAGCGTCATAAATCCTTGATCGACAGAGGGTTGTTACTCTCCATAGTGATCTCTAGTCACTGGCTTTAAAGTTAGGCTCATCTTGCTGCTTATCACATCAGTGCCCAAAATCCCAAGCTAACTTGGAAATAAGGCTATAGTGCTACACATCAGTATAATAAATACTAAACAAACAAAAAAGCCATCTGGCCTACCACAAAACTTCAGTAGCTACAGACATACCATACTGAGAAAACTAGGGAGCAACATATGTAAAACAGCACTGGGCAAGTGAAGTATGCATGAAATACTTCACAGCTTCCTTTAGAAAGCCAGGTCTCCATGAAAACACCTTTTGGGACTCTCAGAGTAACAGAAGTTTTTATACACTATATAGCCTACTTCAGAGACAAAAACTAGGGATTTCTCTGTCCCAAAGCTAGCTAACAAAGAATTAACATAGCACTCGACCTCTTAAGTGCTAGTTTTACCTGATTTTTTATGCAATGGCAAGATATTAACATACACTATAATTGGAAAATACGGTCTGGAACAGAAGTTTAGCAGCATCCTCTTATAAAGTAACTTTCAATAATTCAGAATCTTTTGATCACATTTTAACTTTATAGTAGATGGTATTACAACTTGCTCAAATTATAAAAGGAGGTCTTTTCCTTGCTTATATCTCTCTTTCTCAAACCTGTTAGTGGTAAGGACTTGTCTTTATAATCCATTTTGATGCAGTTAAGACTCCTGACTGCCCTTTCTTCCTTCACTTTGCATGCTGTAATGAACAAAAGTGAGAAAGTACACAAAGCAAGCAACACATTATTCAGAAAGAATGGAGAAAGATATCCAGGGCAACTTGCACAGTATAAAACCTTGATCAAAGGGTTTGGTTTTTTTCAGACAAAGTAGTAACTGCCAAAGATCCATAGGGCAAGGGTGAAGGGTTTTTATGTTAAGAAAGAGGAATGCAAAACTTGGGAACTAGGCACAATGGAATTTCTTGTGCCTCTCTGGCTTCTTGTCATAGCCTTATGGAATAACAGAGGGTACATACAGCTGCAGTGATGGACACACGCTGCCTCTTCCTAGGAGGACAATAATGTATTACTAGCCTTACATTTACCTGAAGTGCCATGACAGCATACCAGCCTGAAGTGGGACATACTAATCACTACATATTATTATAAATGCAAGTAGAACACCTCAATGTTGAGAAGATGACTCACAGACATCCTCATGGGGAAACTGCACATTAAGATCACCAAATATTCTTGTGCCTTTTGGGTGAAAGATTAAGAAAACTGCTGACAAAATATATGCAAACAACACTGGAGGCCATTTCCCAATATTTAGTAGAAAGAAGCATTCATAGAAAACATTCTCCCACCAAATGCAACTAAACTGTATATAGACAAAAACGTAAAGTCAATCTCCTGAATTACGCTTGCTCTTAGCGCTACTCACATTAGGCCCAGAAATACCCGTTGCGGTCAGAAATCTTATTAAGAAATAATTGTACATATGAATCTGGCAATCTTCCAGGCAAAAGTAAAGGAAAAATTTTGTTCATGCTGAAAAGAGGAAGGAAGATTGTAATCTCATTTTTTTATGAGCTGTATCTCCAAAAGCACTAGTTATGTACTTTTAGTTTATTAAATGAGGTTAAACGACTTAGCTTTCTAACCTGGTGTTTCTGAAGAATTAGACAGCGGAGCTGATGCTTCTGCTAAAGCTGCCAACGTGGCTAATACTGATGTCGATGAATTTCCAAACTGTACAGCAGACACTCCTGTTTCATCTAGTAGGATGGAAAAAAAAAAAAAGTTAGCTGATAAATTTATAACCAGTGAAGTCCCTTTTTTTATTATTATTGCAATGAAGCTTCTAACACACACACTGTTCTCAGCGACATTCTGCTGAACGAAAGTGTTATTCTGAAGACAAGTTTGTTAAGCAAATACAACTTCTGATAATTTATCTCCACGAAGACTGTTGTTTTAAGTACCTAGATATTTACAACACATAAAAAACAACGAAGAGGAACATGGTAGTTACTCAATTCTTACCACTGCTTTTCCTCAAGCCTTTTCACTAAACAATGAAAATCAATTCAAGTATAAAATCCCAGTAGCTATCCTATAGGCATCTAAAGACCTGTTCCATTTGATGTATTTGCAGAAGATACCAGACCTGTTAGGTTCACCACCCCTCCAGGTCCAATGATGAACTGCGGTGTTGCTGCATGTATCGTCACAGTGTCCGGACTCTCTGGATTTGTATTGATTTGGTTCTGCATTGCAATCTAGGAGACAAAGGTAATAACATCATTCCAACTGAAGGTATAAAGAAGTTATTTACCGTGTAGGAACTACAATGATTGCACATTCCACTCAAACAAGGAGGATCTCCCTCGTTATACTCATGCAATATACACACATTGTGTCACATCTTGTGCTCTGTGTAAGTATATGGGAAACATCTTTTTTGGCTAAAATCCAAAGACAAAAAGTCTTTTGAAGTGAAAGAGAATAATGACACACTGCTACTTCTCCTTACCATTTATTGTAAACAGAAGACCATATGAAGACAAGGCCCTTTTCTAGATATGCAAGCTTACTTTTCTAAAACAGAGGCCGGAAGAACCAAGATTGCTGTGGCAGCTACATGCCATGAAAATCAGCTCCAACAGCTTAGTAATTGCTATGAATTGTACATGGCCAGTCTTCTTTTGTCTTTCTTTGAATTATTATTGACTTGTATTTACTATATCCTTTCTGCAATGAAAAGAAGGCTAAAGGAACAGACCAGAAGTTCATATAGTTCAAGATGTAGGGGAACAACAGATTTATACGGTGACACAATGATATTTCTCATTTGCTTTCCATTCTTTTCTCAATAATGCTTAGCACTGAATTTGCCTTCAAGACGACTACTGAAGAGTGAGCACACATTTCCATGAAGTATCTATTAACATCCCAATCTCTATCAGTTCAACAATTCAATTCTTGTTTTTCTAATTCAGGAAAAATTGTCATCTCTTTTCTCCTCTCCTGATCTCCAATTGTTAAGAAATTAATATCCACATATGAAGTTAACTGAACACTAGGGTATAGTCAAAACATATTAGCAGAGTAGGAAGTTAAGTTTTACACCTTGCTTGTGAAGACTCCACCTAGTTCTGTGTACTATAACACTGAAATTTAAGAAAATAAAGGATGTTTATCCTTGACTTTGTAGGGGGTGAAAATGTTCTTCAGCCAACTAATGTTTACTAACATTAATCTCATTTCCATGTCATGAACGAGACTGGAGTTTAGCATTATCACTCAACATACAGTCTCACAGCTGCTATATTAAAAGCTTAGTTTATCACATGTGTAAACAAGTACTTTGCTGTAAGTTCCCTTAACATCATGAATCAAAAGTTACCTGTAATATTTCTGCAAGGTCTTCATTTCCATTGTCTACTGCAATATCTAACGCCGTTTTGCAAAATTTACTCTGAGCATGAACATCTGCTCCGTACTTTATTAAGAGTTCTACAACTTCTTGGTGGTTATGTTCAGTAGCCCAGTGAAGTGCAGTCATTTTGAGCATGTCCTTCGCATTGACATCAGCGCCATGCTACAAACAAGATTATTGCATAAACTATGTCATTAGAAGTATCTGAATTAAATAATGCTGGTCACAGAATGAAGCCCAAAATTGTTTTTCTCCATCAGTAATGTTCTCTTATCTTACATTTACAGATTTATTAAAAGTACTTCAATCTCACTACCAAATAAATTATTTGCCTCAAAGGATTAAAGGCTCCCTAAAACATAACATGTCTTGGTTCTAAAAGCTGTTACTCACACAATGTCAAATTAGGAAATAGTCTTATTTTGAAACAGCGATAAATAATTCACCTGTAATCATCATGATTTTTAATGCTGAAATAAATTACAGTTTAATAGGAAAACAAAGCACCCAATGCACACCATATAAATATTCACATCATTTCAACGTTGGTTTCATGACTAAAAGGGAATTGCAAATATCTGATCATAAACCATTGTAATATCCCCACTCAGACCCTGTTTCAGCAGTCTTTACCTTAAGTAAGACTTCTACAATGCTGGCATGGCCTTCTGATGCTGCCATATGTAATGGAGTTCTGTCCACTTTGGTTCTGGCATCCCGACTTACACCTGCTCGCAGCAACACTTCTGTTGTTGAGTAGTGTCCATACTGTGCTGCTAGATGAAGTGGAGATGTTCCCAACTGCAATGTCATGGGAAAAGTGGAGTTTTAACAGATGTCAGTATGAAGTATTTCTTCTTATTCTGGAGTGATCAAACTCATGTGTCAGACCACAACTTCAAAATCATTTTCCTTTGCAGTCTCAAAGAAAGAAGCTGTTGGGGCTTTTACAGAGTATGAAGGAGGGGCGGGGGCGAAAGTTGTGAGGTGTTTTTTTTTTCCCCAATAATCACAACACACTAAAACCAGCTCATTAGAAGCAACTTTTTGAGGTCTGGGCTATGTTTTTTCTGTCTTTCTGAAGTGTGATGTTTCAAGGGGCCTAACCCCGTGTTTAGTGTTCGTCAACAGGCTATACCAACATTGGAAGAGATCTCTGGAAGTCGCTTAAGTCCAATCTCCTGCTCAAAACAGAGTCAACTTGAAAGTTATGTCACTAAGTAGATTAAGGCTCTTAAGGGCTTGTAAATACCCTAGAATTTTAGGTACATGGTGTCCCTATACAACCTATTCAAAAATAGGCACTTCCAAAAAACAACTCAGAGTCCCTATTATCAGGAAACTCTCAGCTAAACATATTACGTAGTTGGGACTGCTTTCTCAGTTCAGACCTCTTACTATACTAAATGCGTAAACACAATAACTAGGAAGATGATTGCTGCTTTCTCCCATTAACCATTCCAAAGGTCATCTTAAAAACCACCAGAGCAAGGTCATTCACAGTCTGTTACTAAAAATCAGTAGAAGGTCACACGAAGAAATAGACAATTTTAATTTTGAATTAGACATTAGATGATGTGACTGCAGAATTCCAAGAAGAAACTCCCAAGGTTTGCAACATAAATGCTTAATTGTAATAAGCCTACTTTCTTCTTCAGGTCAGAAAAGTAAGAGGATTTACCAAACACCGCAAAAGTTTTCATTACCCAGTCTGTGGTAAAAGGTGCTCCATTTGCCATCAAAATCCGAACTTCATCATCTTGACCTGCTCGCGCAGCTTCTAAAAGTTTCTTTCCCAAATCTACTAGTGACATCTAGTGAAGGACATAAAGGAATATAAATAAAAAATAACAACATTAGTACTATTTTAAGTACAAATATGCCACTGTCATTTTTTTAAATTACTATTTCTGAACTACTCCAAAAAGTTTAAAAATTGGAGTTGGTATTTTCTGCCATGAGAACAAGCTTTATTGATTGCAATAAGCAGCTTGATTTTAGAATTACTTTTGTCAGCCAAACAGAACTGACACCAGCGTGAAGATTTCGGTATTACAATGCTGTAACCATAGCAGCTGCAAAGTAAGATGAAACTAAATTTAAACTGAACTGGATGCACATTTCTTAAAGCAAAAAGTGCTTTAGAAGCTCTCACCTGATACTGCAACCTTCTGCAGCTTTGTCCAGCTTTCAAATGGCACTATATCATGGCTGCTAGCTTACATGCCCAAAGGCAATACATTCACTTATCTAAAATGCCTACATGTATTTAAGAGGTATCACTATGTAAATGCATTCAGATAGATATGAAACACAACACCTTTCTGACTTCTTATCCATCACTATCACTTCATTCTGCTCACCCTAAAATACGATTTCTGTACTCCTAGCTACAAAACAATGTAATAAGCATATATTATTGTACTAAATGCATCAGATATACGAACCAAAATGTCCACCTGAAAACAAACATTACTACCTGCTTCAACTGTCTACAGTTACTAAAAGTATGTTAAGTGCAAAATTTTGTTTGAGACATGACCAAGATACTAGCTGAAGAAGTTTCACATCATCTTTAGATAATCTCCCTTTAACAGCACTCAAAGTTCCATATAATACAGAGCATGCAAAACTATATGTAGACAAATGACACCTGTTTATGTTTCTGTTGCATCAAAGATTTCCTAGTATAACATCTTTTTAAACCCATTCTATTTCATACTTGCTATTAAATTTGTTCAGTTAAAAGAAAATTTAGAACTAAACCACAACTCACACTACTAATCAAAATATATCATTAACATTTTAGTCCTATATCTATGTTTTCCACGACCAGAATGCTAGGAATGGAATTACTTTCATCAGTTTAGTTTCCAGTCACAAGCAAAGTTAAGCCTATATTACTAATAACAGTAGCTGCAAGGCCATGCAGCCAATTTCCTACACAAAGTTAGGAGTCTATCACTTCAGAAAGAAATCCTATTAAATATACACTTTAATCACAAAACCAACATATTTGGAAAGTTCTCTGCACCTGGTTCAACTGGCAAAATCTGTGTGCTATATTGCTTAATAAGCTGAAAGCTATTGACTTGGAAAGAAATTAGAAAGGAAGACAGAAATACTGCAAATGCAGAACTCCAACACGTATCAGTAGAGCCATCAACTGGAGCAGATTACTTTTGTCTACAGAAAGGACTGCAGGCAGCAATATCCCCTTCACTAAAATAATACTCCATTTACGTCCATCCTTCTAGTACACATGGACATGTTGATTTGTCTCCAACCAGAAAAGGGAAGAGGAGCAGAAAGGTGGCAGGACAGGACACCTACTGACAATGGGAAAAGGAAGGAAAAAAGGAGCACAGAGTCAAATGCTGAGGAAGGGACAACAGCTGACTCTTCCATAAAGAGAAAGGGCAAAAGACAAACAGGAGTAAGAGAAAAATCTACTATCCCTATTAAAGGCAGACACTAGGAGTAATGATCTAAACCAGTAATAGGACAGAGAAGGCATTTGGCAAGTGCAGCAGTGAAATGAAGGAATATAGCACTGCCTTTACATCGCACCCTTTTTTTTTTTTTTTTTTTTTTAAGTGGGAGGTGCAATTTAGGAAGGAAAAGAGTACACACAGACACACACACTTTTCCTGGTGGTCTAATACCACCACATCAAGGTCCTCAGAAGCAAAAGGAAAGCTGGAACTTAACGCAAAATACTGAAGTTAGGAACTAATTCAGAAAGACAACAATTAATTTTCCTCATATTTATTTTTGTTTTAAACACCAGTAGAGAAAAGGAACTAATAAAGTCTTCTTTTGGAACTACAGAATCATTGAGGATGGAGGGGACCTCTCAAGGTCACCTAGTTCAATCTCCCAGTCAGAGCCAGCCCAATAGGCTCAAGCTGTACAGGGCTTGGTCCTGTTGAGTTTGGAATGTCTCTGTGGATGAACATCCCACCACTTCTTCAGCCTCGTTCCAGTGTCCGACCACTCTAATTGGTAAGAGGTGCCTTCTGTGTATACCTGTCTTTCTCCACTAACCAAAAAGACAGCCTTGATAAAAAGCTTATACTAGATGTCTGTTAGACAACAAAAACAGGTGAATTAAATTACAGTCTGTACATTTGACAACTACCCCTATTCAGAACCCACTGACCACATCTATATTGGTGAAATAAACTGCAAAGTTGTTACCAAAACCCTATCCAGGGAAAAAAAAAAAAAAAAAAAAATCAGGTATGGTGGCCTGCAAAATACAAGTCTCACTCCCAGGAGATGTTAGGGACAAACTTCAGCCTGAGATCAACACCTTTTCTGAGTCCCTCTGAACCACTACCGTTGAACACACTGTCAGAGTGACAGTACATCAGTTCTCATCTCAATGCAAAAGTAAACAGCTTTACAATATACTCAATAAGAAACATTCTAATCAAGGAAAAAGAGGGACATAGAAGATCATACATGACATAACCTTCATTACCATGTATCACCTACATTAACCAACACTCTCTTGGTTGATATAAAGCGTTCGTATTTCAACCAAGCATAAAGCATCACAGAAGTTTCTGTATGTTTCATGATGCAGAATTTTAAGTTCAGTTAAAATGACACAAATTTATTTTAGAAATTAAGTAAAAGTTTCAGTTCTCATAGGGTACTGGAAAGCATGCTTGGGCCATCTAGTGGAAGAAAGTTAAAAATCTAGCAAAATTACGCTCAAAAATAAATACCACATTATGTGTCACTAATGCACTAACAAGAGCAACTGAAGAGGTCTTTCCAACAAAACTCATGCACATTTAGTCACTTTTAAACAACGAATACTAGCATTCACAAAATTTCTCAAGAGTAGTCAACCAAATGCTGATTTCTTTGGCATTCCAAGAACCAATGGAATCTTGGCTTCCAAGATTCCATTCCAAGGACTGGAATCCTTGGCAGTCCTTTCCAAGGCAGACCAAACTGAAGAGGTCTTTCCAACAAAACTCATGCACATTTAGTCACTTTTAAACAACGAATACTAGCATTCACAAAATTTCTCAAGAGTAGTCAACCAAATGCTGATTTCTACTTGGCAGACCATTCCAAGGACCAATAGCATAAGGTCAGGAAACCCTTGAGTAATTACATGCCCCACGCTTCCCCTCATACTCTTCCACTACTAGTATTGGGACATACTGAGAAGGATCTGCAGTGTCAGAATTCCCCTATCTTCCCTTTATAGAAAAACACTTCAGCTGCTCTCTTGAGATCATTTAGTAACTACAATAGCACAGTGATACTATCAAAAGCAAAGTTCTATATACAGTACAATAACTTATATTTAAAATTGAAATGAGACTTCCATTTCAAAGCAGCACTTTTAGTTAAGTACTGCTGCTACTCCATGTAGTGTTACAAATCGACTTTACTGAACCGCGTTAGAAGGTACTCTTCAGGAACTGTGTCACCTCCATCAAGCTTGGCTAGCATGACAGCTGGGTAATGCTTTATAAAAGGATTCTTTCAGACAATAAAAACATCACTGGCTTTGAAATAAAGTATTGGGACTGTTATAGCTAGTCTTATGGCAATCTGAGTTTCAGGCTTCTAACAGCTCCTACACTATTGTGTGAACAGAGGGTTTTGTCTACAACTGAGTAAATAGGGAAGAGCTTCTGCTGGGTTTGTGCTTCTTTGCATTAACCACCTCCTGAACTTCCATATTTCATTATTGCAAGGCATTCTGTACAGTATCATTAGCCAGATGCCACAATTAACTAATTTAAACTTACATCAAATTACTATTGCTATTTTACTTCTGTTCAACAGGAAATCATACTGCTTTTTTGTATCCATCTTAGATTTAAATTTTTATACATTCGGTAAAACTGAACATCATGCTGTTACCCAAGGGGTATATAACAGCACTTGCCTGGAGTTCAGGTGGAACTGTGTGTGAAATGGGCTCTGTGGGGAAAGGAGCTGAAAAACATGCAGCTTGGGAAGCCTGGGCTACCACACCACAGCCTACAGACAATAGAGCAGCAGTCTGCAGTCCAAAGGAAGATTAAGTTTGGCTTAAAATACTGCAGCACCTTTCAGACTGGTGTCCTGCCCCAAGGATCCTGGACCCAGCCTCATTTGCCTTCTACCACTGCAGTGGTCAAAATCAACAGGCACAAAACAGTTGTAGCAAAGCATCTGCTAACACAGAGATCTCACAGCCACCAGTGTACTACCAAAGCACACTCCTGAGACAGACATACTTACACTAGAAGAGCATGGACTGCAGCACTGCAATTTATCAGAAGGTAAACTCAATCAATACACACCATATCTATGTTAAATATTTGCAATCATTCCTAAAAACCCCAGCACAAAGTTCCACAAAATGCTAATTAAACAGGTTTCCCTACTGAAGTGACACGCAGCAGAACTGTACTTGGAAGATAGCTTGAGATCCATCATCTCTCACACCCATTACGTCTGAAAAAAGCAAGCCCTTTTCAGAATGTCATTTTCTTTCCACAATTTTAAAAAATTCAACCTGCTTCCCCAGATTTGATCTTCAGAAATGCTGTCATCCTACTGATTTCAACACTGCACAGTATCGCTAGAAATTTAGAATGGCCATTTCTAATTTTATACACCTATCCATACCAAGGTCAAAAATATTTTGAAGTACAGTGTACAAATAGTTAGCAATAACTATTTAAATCTTTAATCAAGCACTCAGTTTTGACCATTATTAGAATTGAAATAATAGGATCAACTTGCTTTATATTTTTTTTCTACGTCCTGATACAACACTGCAATACTTGAACTCA